AAAAAAAACTAATTTTAATTAATATATTGTTTTTTTTAAATTAAATTTTATTTAAATACATAAATTATCATGAATAATAAAGTGCTATGAAATACTACAGTACATTTTTTCTGAAACCCGTTTTTCCAAAAATCTTAGGCAGAATTATCATAATGTGGGCCGAACTTTTCAGGATAATGTCATAAAATTCAAATAAAAAAAAATCTCTGCACATATATAAATGTCTCTAAAATTATGACATACACACTAATTATTGTGCAAGTTTTATTCGAAATCTTTAATGCAGATATATTCAATAGGTGTATATTTTTTTATTGTATTTGCATATTTAAACAAATATTTGCGCTTGTGCAACTAATTTTAAATACTGGCCATTAGATGGAATTTACCGAAAAATCGTGATCCCCGCTGTTTCCGCTCCGGACATTAACAGAGCCTGTTAACCTAGTATATGTTAGATATAAGATTTGAGGGTGATTAAGGCGTTTATTTTTATTTTTAGCTTGAGATTCTGAGTAAACTACAAAAATTTCTTCTTCTTCCTCAGTTTCCATCATGTTTACATTTCTTGGGCGAGACTTAGTTAGGATTTGAAATTGAGCTTTAGTAGTTGTTTCAATTTAACAGTCACGTGTATAGTATCCTTCTTCTCTACAGTTAAAGCAAATTAAAGATCATTGAATATATATATTATTGTTTGTATTATCATCATTATATAATTTTTGTTTAGGTTTATGTTAGTGATTTTGAGTTTTAGCTAAATTTGCTGAGAGTAGGGCTACTTATTATTGAAGAACTTCAACTTGACTAGCTATTATTTGTTGTTGTTAGATAGGTTGAACTATAGAAAATCCAGTTTCAATTTCTTTAGTCTTTGAATAGCGACATCCAAAGTATTAGGGCTATATCTTATAACTATAGTCATGAATTATAGTTGTAATCCTTACTCGAATTTTCTAACTCTATAATCTTATTCAAAATTTCCCATAGAATTAACTCTACTCATTAAAGTTTTGAATTTTAGAGTATATTTACTAACTGTTTGATTAGGTAATTGTTAAAGCATTTCTAATTCTGATATCTACTTATTTTTCATTGTAATATTAGTAAATTATCAAGTGAATCAAAATACAAAACTGGTTGCACTTCCCAAGGTATTCCAGTTATTAATATTAGTATAATCTTTCTTATACCATTTAGCTGCAATATCTTTTAAATATTCTGCGGATATTTGACATTTGCAATTATCTTGTTATTAATTTGCAGTAGCAGCTCGTTCAAAAACTGTAATCTATTTAAATAGATCCTCATCATCTCAACCATAAAAGTAACTAGGTTTAATGATATTTAATTCTCTATTTGCTGCTACGGTATTAACAGAGTTTGCTAGTGTTAATCTTTGAAGAGTAGTTGTCATTTATTATAATAAGGTAGTCAATTGATTTGATAAAACATTTATTGTGTTATTGTCTAAATTATTGCTTAAATTAAAAATAGGTTGTTACTGTTGCTATTATTAATATTCACTAGCATATCCGAATTCAGAATAATGATCATAATTCAGGAATTGCGACATATTGAAAACAGAAGTAGTAGTAGTAGTAGTAGTAAAATTTGAAGGATTAATAGGTTTTGAGAAACTCGAACTTGCAATATTTTGATTTAATTTTATGTTGTTTTATAAATATATTGACTATTTTCCTTTATTAATAATAGTTACAGTAATAGGGGTACTTGAGAGTGGTAGATTTGTAAAAATATTTTCAACTGTACTAATAGGAGTTGAGTTGAATGCTTGATTACTTGAAAGTGATAATTTGTATCTGCCTTGACAATACAGTCTAGTGTTTTTCCATATATGAAATTTCTAAATATATAAATGATCGACATTCTAGAAGTTTATTGAGATCGACGGTAATACAAAATTTATTTGTTTTACAAAACTAAATTAAAATTAATAAAATTCATAATCTGCTATTTTATATCGTATTTTCTGCTTCATCGCTATTAGTCAGATTGATAAGATCCTGAACTTGTTGTAGAATTACTAAAAGCTCATCTTTTTTTCGATTTTAATCCTTGGAATTGTGATCGATTAGTCTCATTTAAGGATCCAACCAATGATTCAATTATAAATATTAACTCTTCTTTTTTCATTAAACCTTCTGTTGACTGTAACTATGCTTCATCGAAAGTAACGAAAATAGGATGAATAAAGCTTGATGGTTTTGTTAAGGTTAGCTTTTCTTTTATATAATTAATGTGTCGAGCTCGAGCCTTAATGCTAAATAGTTTCATTTCTTCACTCAATTTATTATCTTTGCCTAAACTCTCAAAATGACGATTATTTTCATGTAAATTTAAGAAACCGGTTTTTCTTAGTTGAACTTGAAAACGTTGTGATTTGATTACATAATCTGGACGCATTCGTAGACCTATGCTTTCAGAATCTGAATGTCCGATTAAAGCAAATAATGCTTTTCATAACTGATCAATGCCGAAGGAAAAGGTTATTTTTATCTGCAAAAGAAAAGTTAATAATACAATCAATTAACAATGATACTTTTATTTCTTGCCTCCATAAACTTTGTACAATTTCTTGCAGCCATCTCCCAATGTTTTTGAGCCGGTATAGGTGGTATGAATGTCTTTAGCATTTTGTTCACCTCCTCAAGTATGGCATCTAATCCCTGATGCTGGTTTGACCATCCTGATCATGATACAACCACATTCTGTTCGATAAGTTGGCGAATCTCTGGATGAAGACACATTAGTTGTTCCTAATCAGCTACCTCAATTGCTTGATAAATAGAATGTCACCTGAAAGACCAGATAGGAGCAAATATTCTACGTGCGGCAGATTTAAGTAAAGATTGATTGATTCTAACTCCAGTACGATAGTTTATTATAGCTTATAGATACCAAAAGATCTAGAAAATTAACTTAAGTATTATATACAAAATTTTAAGAATTTCAATAATTGATATACCTATTCATATTTTAACTTATATAATTCATCGGTTTGGTTTTTAGCCTAACTGAGAAATCTACTAACGGATGGATTAGGAACTGAAACAACATAAGGCCAGACCAATTCCATTGCCATTGCATGCCGATAAATATGGCATATTGAATCCCATGCTTTATAATGATCAGCACATTTCTTAAAATAACCTAGTTGATTCTCAGTTCTATATCCTTGACATTGTGCAAAATATTTTAGATCAATGGCCCTAAATTTCATATATAAATAAAAGATCATGAATTAGTTTTATTGAAATTAGCTTTAGGATAATTAATGATAATACCAATTCAACTCTACAAAGGCTTTTAATATGTTCATTTCCTTGTGAAGTGGACTAGGCACTAAGAGTATTCCCGGATAGTCCTTTTTAAATTTTTGTGCATAATGGTAAGGTACTCCATCACAAACTACTACAATCCATTTCTGATCGCCATTATTAATTCCATTAATTTCTTGAATATGATCTAGGACTTTGCGAACATTAGTGATAGAATTTGGATTTACTGGTAAAGGATCTGGAACATAAATATCAGGTATATTAACATCTTTCTGGGGTATTGATTTTTGGGTTATACTAATTGAATTTGTATGCTTGTCGGAGATATCTGTTTCAAACTTGTAAGATCTAAAAGTAAAAGATTTAGTAGAATCTTCTTTCTCAGGAGTTATTTGTTCAGTTTCTTGTTGTGTTTTGGCAAGTGTAAGAAGTTTTGCATTATATTGAGGGCATTTATGCTTAGAATTTTCAATTTCATTCTTACCACATTCATGACAATGCTTTTGTTTACCTATATTA